TTACCATCTTTATTAACTTATCATCAAAATTTTTAATCGAATGTTACAAGCTAATAGAGTAATAGAGTAATAGCTCTAAATGTTTCTCAGATACGTTTTATCTCGTCGTTCCGACACATTTTTTTTATTCCGCTTATATGCCCTCCCCTCCGATATAAGCCTCCACCCCCACCCCCCAAGCCCCGTTTATGAGTCCACCCAAAAACCCTTATAAAGTTATATAAGCCCACGGCTTTAATGTGGTATTTTACGGTATTTACGTTTTACTTCAACCAAGCGTCTTCGCTCGGCTGGCTCGTTGGTAATGATGAAATGATGGCAAAAGTAGACAGCAACCAAAAGCCATAAGAAATGAGGCAGGAGGGAACTTTACTCGTGCCCTCGTTGCTCGCGAATTCCCCCCTGGGCTTCGCCTGCTAAAGAAAAAACTGGCTACTCCACCACCGAAAATCACTCGCTCAAAATCCCACCAGCTACCCAGGCTGTTTTATTGCCAATCTTTCCAGGGAGATGAAATAGAAACAGTGCGAAGAAGCTTTCTCAGCTTAGCAAATCTCAACTCATGGCCGGAAGAGTATTAATTGGTTGCATATGGCAAGACGAATGTCAAGCAGTGCGAAAAGCAACCACGGCCCAGTAGACTGTTGTACCCATGGAGGTGGCCTAATCGGGTGTGGCAGCTGGAAAGGCGTACACGTTGACTTTGCGGAGAAGGGCGGCAACTACTCATGTGCTATGTTGACACTGATCACCTCCTGCAGCGTTTTTTGATTAGGTGTCAGCTCCAGTATAAGTATCGAGCACTCCACCACCAATTCCGAGTACCAGTGTCCCAGAGCCAACTCTAAAACAACCCGCCCAGACCCCCAAGCTTCCGGCGTGCCTGTCGCAGTACCAGGAGTTTTAAGAATGTTCGCGCTAATTGTTTCTGCGCATCCTTACTGCGCACGCAAATTCACATGCCACGTCATGCATGAGCGCGCGTGCAAAGTAATAAAATGAACAATGATAGGGAAGATGGCCATTGTTATAGCTTCCTCGATTTAACGATCTTGGACGTTCCGTGACCCTTTTTTTTCTTTTGATGGATCATTTTTTCTACCGATTTTCTATGTTTAGCGAAAACATGAAGAAAATCTATCGACTAGAAGTTTGAACTTTTTGCAAAATGCACCATCGAATTCCGTTCTTCTTAGCTCTTCGTTTATCTGTGCGACGGGTTTAATGCCTCTTGAATGGGTTAATTTTTGTGAAAACGTTGGTAAAATTTGGAATTATTTATGCAACAGACCCACTTCTACAAAATATGACTAAGCACGTTTGTCTCCGTTGACTCACCTTCGATATTTTTAACTATAAACCCTTGTAGACCATGCTGAATTACGTGCGCCAGTTTTTCAAAATCAGGGTGGTTTTCAACACTTTTTATCTCTGAAGCAAAGTCGGTGACCCCCAATTTTTTTTTTGCATTTCTGGCAAAAGTAACTCATTATCTGACCGCAGTAAAAATTTAAAGAAAATAATCTATCGACTGGAAAATTTCCGCGCGAACGTGCTTAAGTTTGTTTATCTCCGTGTATCTTTGTGCTGCTATGTGTCGAGCACATTAGAAGGGGAGAAGCGTCATGCATTGTCAGCAATTCATGAAGCATGCACGGTACTAGGGCGACCCGTCTTGCCATGCTGGTCAACCATGTTTGAGTTCCGGGGGTTTTATCTGGCTGACTCAAACTCTGATTACATCTGACAGTGTGTATGAAACAGTGACAGTGACAGTGACAGTGACAGTGACAGTGTATGAAACACCAACGGTTGTTGTGAGTAGTGTAACTGTCAACTTAATTTCACCGGTGCTGCGCCATATCAGCGGCAAGCAAGAGACTATTACTCTTGCAACAATGCATGTCCGCGGGTACGGGAGTATATAGCATGACAATTGGCAACAATTAATTTCGGTTCAGATACTCGGGGTTTCATTAAATATTTTACTTACTCGACACTGGTGCGAACACTACATCTACGAAATGTACTCAGTGTTCTAACTTGGGAAATATCAACCTAATCGGAGATGTAGAAACGCTATGCTCAAGTTCTAATTTAATTCACCAATCAAACGTCAGTATTTTTAAAACCAGGAAGATTCTTTCTCATATTACTGACACAGTACAAACGGATAAATCTTTTTGTTACGCTATTTTTTGTGTGACAGTCACACAAATCACCTACACTATAACAGATCATCTGAGGTCACGATTTGCGTCAGTTTCTTCTGACCTCACGAAGCTTTCACTTCAGATTTGCTTGTCCAAAATGGCGGAAGCTGCGAAAAATCAATTACCTTCAGGTTATGACGAGGACTTTGTGAACGTTGTTGAGGAAGATTTTCAGTGCTCAATATGTCATTTGCCGCTTAAGGAACCTGTTCAAACGAGATGTGGCCACAGATTTTGTAAAGAATGCCTCGAGGAACATTTGATAAGGTGCGTTGTTGGTAATATCACAAGGATGAAATTCTTTACAGTTCATCATGTTAGGCCTTGTTTCCTCAAGTGGCGCAAGCATACCAACCGGACTGAATCACATGAGTCTTAACAAAACCTGAGAAACACAAGCGAAAACCCAAGAATCGGAATGTTTTTATTCCTGTCCTTTTGCTTGCATCAGTATGCATGCGCTTACTCGATCGGCTTCCGTTACGAGTCATTAAACCAGGCTTCCTTTGCCTATTTTATTACGATAATTGATTAAACTTTCTGAAGTCCTGTCCACCGATTTTCATCAATGGTTAGTCGTTGGCTTTTGAGATAAAAGACATCCATTTGAATTAACTGATTTGATGCGGGCATATATATTTCAGATCAGTAATGGTCAGTTTTGTGGTTACGCATCATGCAAATGTTTCAGTCCTTGATGCTCGCTGGATCAAGGACATATTTAGATTGTACCTAGTACAATACCTTTTTTAGTTTTATGGAACTGTTTTAGCCTGAAATATTTTATTAACAAACAGAAAGCCAAACAGCTTGCTGACTATCAACATTTTCCTAAGCGGTTATACTGAGGTTATCGTATTGTAAGAACTCTGGGAGGGTTCATTAATTATGTAGATGGGGGGCTTTGATGTTGCTTAAATTTTCCCTTGCATTAAATTTACATTTGGACTCCTCCCCGCCCTGATTATGTAACAATTATTTACGACCCCCTCCCCCTTATGCATACAGCGGTAAATAGTCATGACCCCCAACCACACCATCTTGTTAAACTTACTTCTTCTAAATTATTGTTGATACAAGCTGTATATTTTGCATCTCATCCTTGGACATCTCATGACGTACAGAATGATAGGTAATGGTAACAAAATCGGACGACCATGCAGCGGGAGTCCGATTCGTTAATCACCAGAATGATTACAGACCGCATTAAACGACACGAAGTCTTATTATCAATAAATCATGAAAAATACAATTTCCGAGAAAAGAAGAATAGCCAAGTCTAAAGTTATGAGAGAAAGGGAAAATTTGCATGAAATTGTTAAATGTCGTTCTGATGGTTGGGATTGGTTGATTTAAACTACAACTTTGAATGTGATTGAACTGTCCAACAAAAAACTGTCCGACAATAAACTGTCCGATAACAACCGTGGCCAGTGAATTAGTGGAAAATAGGAGTTTTTTAAAGCAGTCACAATCGAGGAAGTTATAATTTTTATGATTATCAAGCCGTATACAAGAGCCTTTGTGACAGAAAAGGATCGGAGGAGTAAGCATTTTTCACTTGAGCCAGCTTAAATCTATGGTCACTATTATATCGGAGAACCGGCTTGTAAGCGGGATTTGTTTGTTTGTTTGTTTGTTTGTTTGTTTGCTTAATTTATTTTTTAACCATTTATAAATACATTTTCAACATATTATTGTATAAAAGGCGCCATCGTTTACAAGCTGCAGTGGATTCTCAATTTCTCGAACCCTCAGTTTTACGAACCTCCCGATAACTCGAACCAAAAGTCGTTTCCCCTCCTCAGTGAAACGATGTAATTTTACCCCCGATTTCTGGAAGTCTCCGATTTTCGAACCAATTTTCGTTTCCCTTGGAGGTTCGAAAAATCGGCATTCCACTTTGCAATGAAAGATCTAGATCAATGTTGGCCTTGCATACGGCCGGTGAGCTTGAAATTTGAATTGACCAATCAGGATTCAGCAGGCGGGAAAAAGTTTACTGAAGACATAAAATATCGGGTAACTTTTCTACCTCAGACGGCATTTAATATTAACTCAAAGAGATTTATAATTCCAAAAACCACATCAGACTGTAAAAGGTGAAGAGTATGAAACATTTTGTGTCTCCAAGCTTTAAATTGGTTATGTGCGATCGGCAACTCGCTCTTCGATCGCGTCGCCAAGCAGGATAGGACTATAGTTGTGTCATTTTGGACAAAATATGTTATTTTTCGTCAAATTAAACCTAGAATTCTAGGGTTAAGTATTTGAAGAGGGAGAAGTAACTTTAGTATTTTTTGTTAACTGCGAAGAAAAAGACGGTGCATCGGTGGGACAGCTCGGATTTGACCGCCGCTCGTGCTGCGGACGCATCCACAGCATGCAACGCAGTAAAAGTGACTGTTAGTTAGACGAGCACCGGCAAAGAAAAAGGTGCTGATCTAAGAGATAACGGAGGACAACAGGTTTTCTCACTTTTTTGTAACTAGGAATGTAATCGCATAATAAATTCTAGCTGTTCGCTGATATTTTGTTCTCTGTGGTAAACACATGCCAATAAGAATCCTCATCATGAGTAATCCATTGCGATTTTGAACCTATCAAAAGGTCGCTTTTATCACTAGGCGTAGGTGTTCGGTAAGAGGAGGGAATGAATGTGTCTCATGGTAGATTATATCACTAATACTAGTTTAGTATAACACATCACTTCAATACTTCACTACTTCATTACTTCTTATCAGGCGAAGAGACGAGAACCCATATCAGCAACTTTTCTCCCGAGTTTAAAAGACAGAATGGATGACTAATGTGATTAAGTCTTAGAAACATAAAGGTGCATGTTCGGAAAGCCTCAAAGTCAATTTCGTTTTATTTTTATTGACACTTTTTAACAGGCAGGGAGTTCAAGACCAACCATTAACTTGTCCAGCAGACAGGGAGGGTCTGGACCGAGACCGGGTAAGTGTTTGTTGACAGTTCATTCAGGAGATGATAAAGAGTAGAAGACATAATTCTCCGTATACATGTAGGTTTTATTCGCAAGGTAACCCTATCAACTGAAGCTATATTTAGTCTTTTTAGAATACTCTAGGTTTGGGAAATCCCAGAGGGTCTAGAGAAAGGAAGGCCTGTGATACGATTTTGCGCACATGGACGGCTCAAGAGGTTCATCCTCTACACAAACATTAAGCCAACGTGCGTGACAAAATTATGTCTGGAAGAACTAGGTACCATGACCAAAAATAATTTGAGCAGAATTACCTTTTGGGTATAAGGCCTATATGGATGATTAACTCTTGTGCCCTTTGTCCTCTGTTCGTTCAATATCAAGTGTCAGTTTTGCATCGGAATGTGGCGCATTAGAGTCGTGAGTTATAGAACCAAATTTATCCGAAAAAAGTCAAAATATAGACTGGAGTATTCAAGACGTGATGTCGGAGATGGAAACGTTCGTTTTGGACTGGTGTGGTATTTATTGAGATACAGCCCATGTCACCGGCACAAAAGAGCCTAGAATCACAGAGGGCATTAGGTTGTTAGAAGTAAAACCGCGGAATTAAAACGCACTTCTCGTTCAAGTTTGGGAATTGTTGACTGACACAGCTTAATTAAGATATATTTCTCTTCAATTCTTAATTTTTGCCCTTCTAGGACGATCCTGAAATAGCAAACTCATTACAGGCGTGCGTCGCTGTATACCTTTGCTACAATCCGGGATAAGTTCTTGCGTATCGTCATTATTGAAGTATATGGAGCAAATGTCTTCTTCGAACTACCTTGATGTTACGTTGTCATTATTTTCTTTTTCTTTTTTTTTTTTCTGTCCTAGGATGTCTTCCCTGATAAAGCAACAGAAAGGAAGATTCTTTCTTTCGCCATCAAATGTCCAAATGAAGGTTGCGACTGGAATGGTGAACTGAGGAACAAAAAGGTATTCCCCATGTTTGCAAAACACATGGAATAAAACCATAACTGAAGTGCGTATTCTAATTTGTTTTTGCAACAGGAACACTTGGTATCTTGTGTTTTCAAACTTGTCTTTTGTACCAACGAAAACTGTCACGTGAGGATGCAAAGGAAGGATCTGGAGGAACACGTTACTATGATATGTCAGTGGAGAATCCTTGAATGTGATCACTGCAATGAGCCACACCCAGAGTATAAGATGCAGGTAACTTTAAATCAGCATCCTTGACAGTAAGAAAAAAGGTGCATTCTGCTATCTTCGAACTTGCAAATAAAAACATTTATTCGATAAGGTTTTTCTTTATGACCAGGATAATCAAGGGTCAACAACGGGATTGTAAGGGTTACTACTATGGCGGGAGGCTGAGGCTGATAACAATTACCCATGCTAGGCCTTGATTATTCTGGATATCACGACAAACCAATTCCATGCAGCAATTGTTTTATTATACATTGTTGCAAAAAATATGAACGTTACTTGCAGACAGTTGTGAATGAAACCAATTTAGTCTGAACTCTGAGTGGAGACTTTATTCGTTGATAAAACATTTGTCTTTCCCTCACTTTTTGATCATTTTTGTCTTTAGATTTGCATTTAATACTTCTTCGGCTACATTTGTGGATTCTTTTGTATTTTCTGCATCCACATTATCCCTATAGCTAAGCAGCCGCTCTTTAGACTTGATGAAATATACCATCGATTCCCTTTCTTTTAGTTGATCTGAGAGACCATGCGCATCGCCATGCTCCGTGGAATTGCTTTTAATAATCAAATCCAGCGCATTACACTCTGTAATTCATTGAACTTTGAACAAATCAATGGTAGCTTTCTCTCCGCAGTGTGTATTTAAAAGCTTTAAAATATCAAGCTCTATCTTATTGTTCAAATCAGAAAAAAAAATAATAACCCGGTAAAACAATCACTTCCACCAATATTCTTCGTCCCCAGACAGTGTTGTTTACTCAGTGAGACATTATGGTTTAGAGCTCAACTGCGTCCAAAACTTCCTTGATATTCTGTCTTCCTATTTCTCTACCAGTCACTTCATTTGTCTTATTTTGTTTAGCCTCTCTTTAGTGACACAATCATTTACATCATCGCACCAGTTCTCTGGGCCTTCAAACCGTGAGACGGAAGCAAGTGATTACGAAACTTATACCTAACACTGCATGCAGTCACTGAAGTTTATGAGAACTATCAAAATTCAATAAGGTCATAGGATTAGAAAAAAATTGGAAATAACAACAGTAAAACGCTATCTTGACAACATGAAAACTACGATATACCCACGTGTTTAAGGGCAATGTACGTGAAATTCTTCCTTGCAGGATCACATTGTACAGTGCAGCAAGTTTCCAGTAGCTTGTCCCAACATTTGTGGACGTTCAATTCCCAGGGAAATGGTAATAATTTCAACTTTGTCTTCAAAGCTTATTCCCATTATTCTTAAAGGAAATCGTACGTTTCTTCAGTTCATGTCTGGGATTGAATATAATAAAGTCAATACATTATAGAATATTCAAAGTCGGCCGATCGCAATGTGAGATGTTTTTTTCCAAAAGATTTAAATGGCCTTGGTAGCTGTATCTCTTTTCCTTTCTCTCCCTTCGTCTCTTCCTCCTTCCCTCCTTCCCTTTTCTTCCTTCCTTCCTTCCTTCCTTCCTTCCTTCCTTCCTTTCTTCCTTCCTTCCCTAAGCCTCTTCCAGGTGTTCAGCTAGTTGGAACGCAGCAAAGAAAAAAAACGGCGGAGCAAAAGAAGGAGAGAGCAGCTTCTCGTGCCATGCTTCTCACCTGCTTCTTCGTGAGCCCCACCTAACCGAACGCCTGGAAGAGACTTTCCTTTCTTTCTTTCTTTCTTTCTTTCTTTCTTTCTTTCTTTCTTTCTTTCTTTCTTTCTTTCTTTCTTTCTTTCTTATTTTCTTCCTTCCTTAGCTTCCTTTCTTCCTTCTCTTGATCCTTCGATCCCTCCTTCCTTAACCATCCTTACTTCCTTCCTTCCTTCCTTCTATGCAAAGTATTCTTTTTTTTTTTTTTCAGATTCCAAATCACACCGAAAGCGATTGTCCTCTGACGATAATCTCCTGTCCTTATGTAAAGACTGGCTGCGAAATAAAGGTGTGTAAATTAGGGTGTTTCTCGATAATTCCCTGGGGATCCAGAGCGTGTTTTGTTTACTCCGTTTTATCGGATTCAATTGCGGTCTCACTTTGCAATCCCGTTCGAGCTCAGCAAGACAAGCCTTTTATAAGGAATTTCTATGGAACATTATTTTCCAGTTAAGTTGAAATAAATATAAAGCTTTTTTTGTAAACACGATGAAGGAAGTTCATCTTCTCTTTCAGCTTCAGCGGAAACAAGTGGAATCTCATCTTCAATCCGCCACAAGCCTTCATCTGGAATTAGCGTGTGTAAAGTTCGAAAGCACAGAAGTTAGGTTAACTAGCACAGAAGCTAAGTTATATGAAACCCAAGTTAAGCTATACAACACGGAAAAAACAACAAGGAAACTGTTAAAGAAACTGGATATACTCCAGAGACAATTTGAAAACAAATTAGGTGAGGGACAATTGAATGCATCTGAAGAGAAAGTAGTTATGGTAAAAACGGAAAGAGCTGATTGCCCATCAGAGTTTGTTTGGAATATTACCGATTTTAGTGAAATCTTAAGACAAGCGAAGGCCGAAGAAAAGGAAATGATAGAAAGTGTCCCATTCTACACAGACCGCCATTGCTACAAGTTACAAGTAAGGGTATATCCTAATGGCATTACGTTTGGCAAACATACTCACCTGTCGGTGTACATTATTGTAATGAAAGGTGAATATGATGCTATATTACCGTGGCCTTTCAAAAAGAAAATAAAATTCACAATAATTGATCAACAGGAAGATCTAACCGAACGGCAAAATGCCGTTAAGAGGTTATTTCCAGGCAATCACCCACGGTGCTTTGCAAGGCCTATTAACGAAAATAACAAAACTCGGGGTTTTGCCCAATTTATTTCTCACGATAAACTTCATTCAAGGCGTTATCTGCTGGATGACACTCTGTTTCTTCAGGTTAAAGTTGGACCTTAATTAATCCAGTTGACTTTTGGAGATTTCGCCGAGTTAACATATATTAATTTTATCAAAAGTTAGGTATAAGGCTGTTAAAACTATTTTTTACTCTAATCACTCCGATGATGATCTTATTGATCTTATGGAAACGTTTTGAAAAATTATTTTCGAAAACGTTGTTTGCAATCTGTTACAATCATTTATCTGTTTCCTTTTTGTGAATACCCGGTATTCATTGGGATCTCCGGTGAGAAAAGTGGCCCGACTTCAATGCCTTCCCCTATACATGTGACGTCAAGACAGTTTTTCCCACCTGCCGAGTGCTGATTGGATGGGTCAAATTTCAGAGGCGCCTCTAATATGCGAGAGTATTTCTGCTAGAACTGCAAACGCTATAAATTGATTTCAGGTCAATGTAAGAGCTTGTATGTAATTTTAAACTTTGTAACACTTACGAAGAATAAAGACGACGAAAAGTTACTTTCTGGTGGCATCCGCTTAAACCTTGTTTCCTCCTAAATGATCGTCGTTCGAAATATCATTACTGAACTCATCCACAAACGGCGTTAATCATATTTTTCGTGCTTTTTTTCCTTCACAAATAAGAATAATTCGTCGAAATCTGAATTCCTTATAAGACAACTTCTAGTCAACACTTGTAGCGGCAGTTATAGAAAGCGTTTGAATGACTACCTTGAATTTCAGACACAAAGCCACAACTACGTATCTATATTGTCGCTCGTCAGCTCCTCCAAAGATGACTTTAAGAGGATTTTCCAGTCCGTACTGCGCACTCTCGAGAGTTTGTTTACGTTTTTTTGTTTTGATTCATGTAAGACGTCACAAAATGTAAAATTTCGCCACGAGTTACATGAAGTGAATTCAACGTTTCATGTCAACCGCCATTACTGCCATTATGGATGCGAAGCTTTGTGCTTTGTTCTTTCTGACATCACTTGATGAAACGAATACATCAGTGCTTATTCCCTTTCACTCCCTGTGGAGCATATATAGGTCCGTGGAAACTGCCCGCCATCAAAATTTAGTTGAGTTAATGACGTCATCATTTGACTAATTTGCAAATTTTAAAATCTTGAATACCGCTGGAACGAAAAGAGATATTTCAAGTTAGTTAACAGGATTTTCTTCTCGCACAGACTACTTATTTATGCTTTAAAATGGCTTAGATAGGAAAAAAGCGAATTTCATCTTAGTAGCACAAACAAAGCTGTGGAAAAGGAAGTATGATATCAATCACAGGAAGCATACACATTTAGAGGCGGCAAACAGACAGAACATTAACACTAAACGCAGCTTTAATGTCAGCAAGTCTTAGTAGACCCTTAGTATAAAGACTTCAATGGTTGTGCCATAACTGCTTTGGCTACGTACGAACTGTGAGGCCGAGATAGATACCCAGTAATTTGAATTCTCGTCCGCGAATATCACCTGCAAACTGAATCAACGGGTGGCAGGATAGCCTGGTAATTCCATCCCCTGCAGCTGCTATTAAAAGATACGTTTCAAAAGCAAAATAATCAGAGCAGAATAGACGCATTCTTATCAATATCCAGTTCATTAGCCACGAACAAACATTTAAAACTAGGTTCGCACTGCCTCCTTGAGTGTGCGTAGCGTCTTTTTTGCTTTTTTGAATTTTACGGGTCATGAGGAAATTAAACTGGGCTGATTATTGGAAACGGGCTTCTTTATCGGGATAGGATGCTGTCCCTTTCCCTTCTTCCTCGCGTTTTTTACACACCTGATTCCTACCCCTTCCCCGTTTGCGCTGCAAGGCAGGCTATATTTGTTAGTGTGTTTAGACAATAGGTGGTCTGCTTACCGGAGTCCGTTAGCGCCGCTGTTACGTCACTCTGGACCGTTGTCGCAGTGTTGCGCCTGTTTT